GGGCCTTTTGCTCACCTCCACGCGTTTTGGATTTATTGCATGCACCCAACACGTTTCATATTAGACACCCCTTGACTGTGTACTTGAGACAGCAGGGTTCAGTATGCACTTCCTCCCCAGACCAATATATTATTCTAAATTGAGCTAACGTGTTTCCGTTTCTTGAGTGATATAAAGTTCAGATTTGAGTTTTTAGGCAGCAGATTTGCAGTCATTCACCACATATTTTTTTTCCTTCATATTCGGAAAAGCAAGCCTTAAAATACCCCATGAAAATCTGTCTTACTGAAAGTTTCTTAATTTTCAATTTTGTTTAGTCCTGTTTATGCAAAATACATTTATTGTAATAACGTACTTGAAGAATGGATTTAATCGCCTTGTATTTAGCAATAAGATATTTCAATTATGACTTATGATTTCATCTGAAGAAGACTGCTGAGAATACAGGTGTTTACATTTACAGGTAAATTACAGGTGTTTACAGGTAAATTACAGGTGTTTACGTTTTAAGACTGCATTTTACTAAATTTCTACCCAGAATAACCAAAAACATTTTACAGGGTCAATGAAGAGAGGAAGATTACTAGATGTCTGCTAGAAATGCTAAAACTCACCCTCAATCTCTTTGTTACTTTGATATACTCATTGATCAGCATTTACAAGTTGCAATCGCACATTACTATTAGAAATATCAAATTACCACGTTTTCTTATCTAAGATTTGCATGTGCAGTATCAGGAGATAATTGAGGTATTGTAGGTATAGGAATTGGTAAGACCTTACTCTTTAATTATAAGCAACATAATGACATTTTAGTATTTTACAACATCAGTAGAAAGTAGGAATTACACCAATTGGAAGATCAGACCTACAGAGTTGATAAGTTTTTTGCTGAGTTGGCTGAGCCAGAAGTACAAAACCAATCTTATTAGTCCTACCACTCAGTCCCTGTACATTGACAGCTACTACTAGCTGCAGTATTCTTAATGTTATATTTTCTAGATGCCTTGCATGCTGCTGACACCGCTTTTAAAATAATGGCAGCAAGAAGACTTAAGTGAGGTTCTGGAACATATGATGTCTAAATGCACAAAATAAATGAATCTGGGTTTCTTTATTGTCACGTTACTTTTTAAACAGTTTTCATATTTTATCTTTTAGATGGCATCCTCAAGATGCCTACTTTAAAAAGTCATTAAAAAAATCTGAACAGTAAAAACACCATTAAACTGTTTATGCCCTTATATCGTTTTTCACTTCAAGTGAATATGATAAAGGCAGTTCTGATGTAGATAGAAACAATAAAAGAGACAGTTTGAGCATACTTTTTCAGACTGCCTAAAATATTTTTTTTATATAATTGAGGAAAAAAAAATACAAAGGCCATGGATATGCAGAAGACATTATCAAACACCTGGTCTACAGAGCTCAAATCTGTAGCTCTCCACAAAGCAGTAATAAGAAAGTGATTTACACGTCATCTTCAAAAGAATGCTTAATATATTCTTTACTTCCATCTAAACATGATCATGATGTTATGTATTAAATAAACTCACTTTCTGACCTACCCTTCATATAGGGTATGTACCTATATATATAGTACCCCAATACTATTTTAGTTACTGGATATAAATTCCATAGGGGAATAAAAAAATGGTCTTACAATTTGGTAACCAACCACAGTATCTTGCGATAAAAATACTGAAGCTAGACCCCTTCTTTTATTAATTGCCTTCTCAATCTGTTGCCCAGAAAACTCCATAAGCACAAACTTTCCAGTCAGGAAGGATTAGTTAAGTTTACTTGATGCCTGAACTACTCTTGCACGAAAATGGATTAACAGCTCCCTTTCTAGGAACATTTAGGTGCCACTTAAACTTCACTTTCATATAATACCTTTGTTTCCCTCTATGCTGCTACTGAGCAATACCCTCACAAATATAGGAGAGGCACATCTACGCCACTCTGCCAAAAAATCTCAAAACACCTGACCTCTTCATGTCTGAACATACTTTAAAGCACAGTCTAGCTCTTTTACACAACAGACTTCACTGCTGACAGTGCACAGAATCCGAGGAGGTACCTAAGAACAAACAGTGGTATATTTGGGGCTATGGAACTGATGAACAGGGGTAGAGCAGTTAATGTCACCTACTTGGACTTGTGCAAAGCGTTTGACACTGTCACACACGATATCCTTGTCTCTAAATTGGAGAGATATCAGTTTGATAGATGGACCGCTTGGTGGATAAAGAACTGGCTGGATGGCAACATACAAAGACTTGTGGTCAATGGCTCAGTGTCTGGCTGGAGACCACTAACGAGTGGTGTTCCTCAGGGACCGGTGTTGGGGACCGGTCTTATTCAACATTGTCGTGGTTTAACCCACAGCCAGACAGCTTGTTACCCACTCCCCCCCCCTTCTTGCCCTCCCCCTACTCCTGGGGGAACGGAGAGGAGAATCAAAAAGAAATGCAACTCCCACGGCTTGAGATAAGAACAGTTTAGTAACTAAGGTACAATACGAATCACCACTGCTACCACCAACGACAACAATGATAAGAGAAAACAGCAAAGGAAAGGAGTACAATACCACGCGCCGAACCGCCAGTCCGACCCGGCCGACCCCCTCTCCTTCCGGGTTCCCCCCCAGTTCCCCCCTCGGCATGACGTGCTGTGGTATGGAATACCTCTTTGGTCAGTTTGGGTCAGGTGTCCTGTCTCTGCTTCCTCCCGGCCTCCCCTCCTCCCTGGCAGAGCATGAGACTCACAAAGTCCTTGGCCAAACCAAAACATCACCTCTATCAGCTTTGTTCCCAGCCCGAAAGTCAAAACACAGCACTGCACCAGCTACCAAGAAGGAGAAAAAATGACTGCTGCTGCTAAACCCAGGACAAACATCTTTGTCAGTGACATGGACAGTGGGATTGAGAACACCCTCAGCAAGTCTGCTGTTGACACCAAGCTGTGTGGTTCAGTTAATACGCTGAAGGGAAGGAATGCCATCCACAGGGAGCTTGTGAGGTGGGCTGATGCCAACCTCATGAAGTTTAACCATGCCAAGTGCAAGGTCCTACATCTGGGTCAGAGCAATCCCAGGCACAGCTACAGGTTGGGCAAAGAAGAGATTCAGAGCAGCCCTACGGAGAAGGACTCGGGGGTGCTGGTTGATGAGAAAATGAACATGAGCCAGCTTCAGTGTGCGCTCGCAGTCCAGAAAGCCAACCGTATCCTGGGCTGCACCAAAATGAGCATGACCAGCATGTAGAAAGAGGTGATCCTGCCCCTTTACTCTGCTCTCGTGAGACCTCACCTGGAGTATTGTGTGCAGTTCTGGTGTCCTCAACATTAAAAGAACATGGAACTGTTGGAACAAGTCCAGAGGAGGGCCACGAGGATGATCAGGGGACTGAAGCACCTCCCATATGAAGATAGGCTGAGGAAGTTGGGACTGTTCAGCGTGGAGAAGAGAAGGCTGCATGGAGACCTCAGCAGCCTTCCATTATCTGAAGGGGGGCTATAGGGATGGTGGGGATGGACTCTTCATTACAGACTGTAGTGACAGGATAAGGGGTAACAGGTTCATACTTAAAAATGGGAAGTCTAGATTGGATATAAGGAAGACATTCTTTCCTGTTAGGGCGGTGAGGCACTGGAATGGGTTGCCCAGGGAGGTTGTGAATGCTCCATCCCTGGTGGTGTTCAAGGCCAGCTTGGACAGAGCCATGGGCGATGTGGTTTAGTGTGAGGTGGGCAGGGGGGTCCAAACTGGATGATTTTAAGGTCCTTTCCAACCCTAACTATTCTATGATTCTATAATTCTATGATATGTTTTTTCAGATTGCCCAGAAATGTATTGCTTGCAGTAAGTAAACTGTTTTTATAGTTGTTGGAAGATGAAAATGAAAAGTAACAATTAAAAGACTGCTCAGCCCAGTAAGTTGGCAGTGTGACGGGTCATTCTAGGGACATTCCAAGGAGTATTCCTTCCAAGTCACAAGATAAAAACTGTAAGTGCTCTCAGCCTTTGGAATGATGTCTGTCAAGCCAAGTCACTAAACAGGCAAAAAGGATATTGTCAGATGCATTTCCATGTTCTGAGTTGTGTGATCTGTAACTAAGTTGGTTTAAACAAAAATGATATTCAAGTGAAACACAAGCCAGAGAAAGGAACAGATTCTGTGTCAAGAGTTGTTTTTGCTTCAGTTCTTGCTTCTATTCTTTCAGTGGGAAAAGCCCAGTGTGTGAGCTCAGGTGCTCAAGTATATGAACTCCATTTAATTTTCTTTTTTAACCCTCTATGCTTCAGACATTAAGATACACTTAGGAGTATGACAGCCGTGCTCATTATGAACTTGGTATAATCTCCTTATTAGAAAACAGTATGTTTGAATATACACATGGAAATGTCTAGCAGAAGGAGAGAAGTGTCATGTCTAAAATCCACAGACTGGCATAATGGTTGAAACTTAAAGAACCACAGTACCAGGAAACTTCAAGACTTCTATATTCACAGCTTCCATAATACACAGCCACTCTATAAGCCATCTCGAGAACAAGATATATTTTTTTCATTTAACATAACAGACACAAATGCTCCCAGTTACTCATGAAAATGGCATTAAGAATAAAAAAGGGAACTGGCATCTACAAACAGAAGGATGGAACAGATACAGCTCAACTTCTCACAAGATCTAAGGAAATTCCACTTATGGCTGAAGCTTAACATAGAGTAGCAATTCTGATTGCACAAAGAACAGAAAAGGCTCAGAAAGAATTATCTCCCTTTCTTAGCTGTGAAGTGAAAGAAACAGGATAAAACCAGTTCCCTCAAATACACTGGAAGTGGGCAGGGTAGGAGGAATTTGTTATGCTCTAGCTGGTTCTCGTGTCTTTCTAAATAAGAAAAGTCTTAACTGAAAGGAAAATAGGATAATTTATATTAAGTGTAATTTTCTCTATTTTCAACAGAGTTCACCTCCTTAGCTCTTGAGAATTACCAAGCATCAGGTAGCAGTCTCCTTGGTGAAGTGGCATTGCTAATCCAGGTGTCTCTATGTCCCATGCTACCTTCAAGCCTACGTGCCAGACAGCTGGGTCTCTTCCCTTCAGTGTTTGTTCATCACTTTCTGCCACAACTGAACCTTTAAAGAGAGAGAGAGAGAAACACCGCAAAACCAAGGTGAGAAGCATAACATAAAAGATCTGGTCTAATACAGACAAAGATATCCCACACTGGTACAATCTTAAAGAGGCTTAAACTTTCTATAATCTACATTTGATACAGTCACAACCTTCAAATTCAAAACTATACAATAGGCTAAAAAAAAAAGCCATGTGAGATCAAGATTTTCTGCAATCAGCTTTATTAAGATGAAAACTTCATGTTAACGACAAAGTAAAAGTAAATCAAGGCAAATTTTGCAGTGGACTCAAGATTTTCTGAAGTTCTCAAGTACATGTAATAGGAGGTACATTTAATCATTTTTTATTTTTGTTCTTACATTACTAAAACTGTAAGCACAGAAGAAGAAAAAATTCAGCAACACTGATATAAAAAGATAACTTCTGAAAGAATTTCAAGTTATAAACTGCCAAAGCATTTTACGAACAATTTCATTTGTTTACGTACTTGCAATTTCACCAAATCATAAACTGAGGCACAAATACAATCCAGACCTATAAAGTTGAGTGAATCTTGGAATCATATCTGTCATTCTTCTCTCAAAATTATTAGTCAAACATGCTAGATAACATGTACAAGTGCCAGTGAAGCTTCAGTACATTTGTCACAACATTTTTCTTATCATTAAGCAACATGAATGTGTTGAGCTTGGGGAAAAAAATAATCCACTGCACAGAAATAGTATTTAGAGCTTAATCCCTCAGAACTGTTTTCATAAGCTTACTTCACTGCAGTATAAACTGAAAGATACAGTCAGCATTTATAACAAGGTATTTGGGAGCTATGGTGTAACAGTTTTATGGGTAAAGTAACAGAGCATTTTGACAAGCGGGAGGATGAAGTTTTAATAAGCAGTTGGCACAGAACAGCAGTGAGCAGCTAGAAATCATGCAGCATCCCTAATTATTGTGTCTATGTTAGTACCTGTGTGTGTCCATTTCAAATGTGCTTTCCTGTAACAATTTTTAAAATGTGTCTTCATTTAATTCTAGAATAAGAACACTGAAGACTCATATCTCTTACAATATGCAGACATAAAATGTAACCTTGAGCTCACAGTTTCAAAATCTTCAAGTCATTCACCTCACATGGTTACTGCAATGTCTTTTTAGTTGGGCATAGCCTTTAATAATTAATAAATTGTCTTAATTTTCTATGTCAATTAAATATTGCCTAAATTCAGAAAGCAGAGCCAAAACCTTCCAAATAGCCAATATGAAGTTCTTCCTTAAACCTCCTATTGTAAATTCTGGCCCCATATTCCTTTCCTTCACTGCTGCAGTTCTCTAGCTGAAAACTGGGTTCAGGAGCAGCTCTAGGCCTTTCTATCAAGGAGCACACAAATGAGAAAACAAGAGCTAGCAAATACTCAGAAAAATCAATACTAAAGTCTTCAAGGGGCTTTCATATTTTCTGCCCTGTTCAGATAAATCGTAACTTAATTTAAGAAAAATGTTTTCTGAAAACTGCAAATAGGATGTCTTTCAAGGCATTTTTAATGCAATACATCATGGACATTATAAAAAGAGGTAACCTTTCTGAGTTAGTTCTCTCTGTCATGCTTCTTTCCCATTCACTTTGGCAGCAGCACTGTTCACAATATGGCACCAATAAAATATAGAACTACAATCAGAGACAGCAATTTCAATCAAAGTTTCCTGGGGTCTCCTCATAAATCCAGCACCTTTGGAATGTGCTCGTTAAAATGACTTATTTTTTGCAGTTTGATAAATTTTTTATTGCTTAAGTACAGAGTTCAAATGTAGCTCACAGCCTCCTTTTCTCTATATTCTCAGTTATTGCACCTTATAATTATCAGCAGCAATTGAAACTGACTGCTCCTAACATGTTATTTTGGTAACAAATGGAAGCAAGCTGCTACTAGCTTTTACATGCAAACTGTTCCGAAAGTGGGAGCAATGGGGGGAAAAACTAAAAAAAGACATCTTAACATTTGTGGTATATCTCTAGGTAGCACTGACAAACTTTTACATAAAAATAAATTGTTATTAAATTCTCTATGTCACACCTCAAACATGACTGAATGCTGTCTATTGACTGATATAATTACAGTTCTCATGTAAGTGAAAACATTTGGATGCATCTAAATCTTAGGTATTTAAGAGTAAATCATGTGGATCTTGCACATACACAGTACCTTAAGAGCACGTATTTACCTTGGAGTAGACCATACAGAAAAGGTCAAAGGCAGCCTTACTTAATGAAAATGTAATAAAACTATCTACAAATGTGAATTCTGTCCATTAAGGACTTACAGAATGTGGTACTTCCATTCCAAATGGAATGGTACAACCAGGTAACAAGGTTACCACATCATAACAATACCTCATCAAACCTGTAATTAAGGTAGAACCATGAAAGAGAGCATAAAGCTGCAGAAAATTGGCCACAACATTTTGCTGCTAACTAGACAGCTAAAATTTTAGATGTTCCAGCTCTAAGACCTGATGTTATCAGGTTTGGGTTAAGGTTAGGTTCTGAACAACATGAAATTTATTTTCCTTGATCTAGTTTGATTATTGTTCCACAGCACAGAAAGTAAAAGTAGCTTTGAAAGGTTTCTTTGCTATTTGGCACTAAAGTTTTTGAAACTCTGGAACCTCAACATTCTCTACTCAAGTAAAATTGTAATGCCAAACTGTATCCTAAATGTAACCTTAAATCAAACATGTTTTCTTAAGATGACAGAATCACTGCCAATACACTGCTAAAAACAAGGACTATAAACTTTGTCATTAAAACTAACTGACTATTGCTACATAGAAACAAGAATTATTTTTTTACAGATTGATTTTTTCAGAATTTAGAATTTGGACATGTGTTCAGCGACTGCTGAAATACATGAATATATACATTATTACTGCCTTCCATAGCAATTTATGTACATTCTATGTAAGAAGTGAAAAAGCAAAGTATGTTTTGTATTTCAGCAGCTGAATGAATAGCTACCCAGAGTTATTTCTTCTGCTTTATTACTAAAAAGACATAGATTAACACGCTGATTAAACTGCACTACCATTAACTTTTGCTTGCCACTGACATTCACAACAAAAATTTGCCGACATTGCTCTTAATAACGCTTATTTGGAATATTGTGTACAAATACACCAAGAACAGAAGCACTAAAATAAGAGCAATGGCTATTTTGTCATCCCTTCACACATGAAGGAGTCTTTATCTGATCATATCAGTAAGATATGGGTAAAAAAAACAACCCACGACAGATAGTTCAAATGATAATTTCCTTTTAGTGAACAGAGATTTGATTATTACAAAACTAATCACTTAATTAAAAATTTGTGATTCTCTCAGAATAATTCCAACTAGCCAGGACCTACAAGTCTATTTACGAAAAATCTTGTATGTGGCAAAAACATTAATTACATACATATATCCAAACAATTTCTGGCCTAAAACCATCAAATACTTTTTCTACCTTCATCAATCAAATCTTGCACAGAATTTTCAGTGGGTTTAAAACAGCATAATTTTTACCTAACTTGCTGAAGAAGAAACAAAGTCAAGTAATGAGTCAAAAATAAACATCATAGCTCTTCTTTTAATTTATAGCTCTCTAAACTGAGAGCCCTCCATGATCAAGTTCTGTGTTAAAATTTTTTAAGCATATTACAATAAATCCTTACACACACTATCATTACTTCATGTTTATCTTTCTTTAACTTAAAATGCTCCTAAAAATATTTATCTACAGTACTACTGAAAAAAAACCCCAAACATTTACTGAACACAGAACATCAATGTCTTTGGCAAACAGAACAGAAAAAAGTTCATGAACAAAGTGACACTTCTATGGGTCAGGGAATTGCTTCTATTCAGCTTGCTAAGCCAACCAATGCTTTATGTCCATGAAAATTTAAATATGATGATTTCAGCTGAATAGTAATTTTCAAAACTAGTAACAAAACTAACAAGAGAACACACATGAAAGTGTAAGTTATTATTTTCACCTCATGATCTTTAGTCAAAACCCACTGAAGTCTGTGTGAATTCTTTCCCATGTTTTGAGGAAAACATCAAAGGATTTTTGGAATGACCAAAAAATCAGTTGTGAGTTATGAAACGTAATGGAGCATTTGCAAATTCAAATCAAGTGTCTAAATCCTAATCTTATGTTTGCAAAACTGGAAGCCTTTAATAAAAAATAAATTAAAGTCTTTGTTCAAACACAGTTAGGAAAAAATCCTCATGTCTGCTCTTAAATAAAGATAAAAGTGGGAAAGGTACTTTAAACCAAAAAGTAAATATTTAAGAACTCTTCAAGCATACGTCCTCCCCTCCCACAAATACTGAATTTAAATGGTTTGGGTTTTTTTTTTTTTAATAACTAAGAATATGCAAAGCCTGTCAGACAACAGGGCTTTTAATGGAAAACTTTTACCCTTCCCAGCTACAGAAATGTTGGCAACTCCTCTGCAGAACGTTTTAGCACTACAGCGTGCCCAGACAAAATGTATATACTTATAAGTAAATATAGTAACACTTTCAGACAAAACCCACCTAAAATTATTTTTCTAAAGAAAGCAGAGCAGTAAAATCAACATAAAGAGAAGCAAGTCTGCATATGATAAATAAGAAAGTTGGTGTGATCTCAATTACAATGAAACATTTTGCAGGATGAAAAATAGGCACATGAAATGCAATAGGTATTTCCTGGCTCTTGATCAGGAAATTAATCATAACAATCTTTAAATCTACTTAGAGAACACCTGACATGCCGGCTGCAGTAAACACAAGTATATATTGTAGAGGTTTTAGTAAAAATAAAGATAAGGATTAGTAAAAAAAGTACCCCAACGTATGCAGAAGCACTTGACAAATACAGACTAGCACACAGGTGTGCTTATGGACGTACACCCATGGAAACATAAAAGAGTTTCAGGGATTTGGGATATTTATATCCCTAGTTAAGTCCCATCTCCCATCACTCACCTTCACAGCTGTAACTGTACACTGCAACCGTTGACCTTTCAACTAGATTCTCGTCGTGATGCCAGCTCACTGCCATGTTCCCCATTCCAAAATAAGGTTCTTGTTTCAAATACAGCATTTGTAGTGGATCCATATAATTCAATAAAGTCACGTTATAAGACGTTCTGTTCTTTAGATTCATGTAGTTATCCGCTCGCACACAACAACTGCTTTGATCTTCTGAAACAGACCCTTTCTCTGTAAGAGGAGTAGCAAAATTTTGCTCCCTATCTATTACAGCAGTATCGTTAATTTCTTTGGTCTCAACAAAATCTTGCAATGCCTTGACTGCTTCAATATGCAAGTAGTCATTAAGTCTGATTAATGCTTTACAAGCATCATGTATTTGAGGACTGCAATATTTTATATCATAACCCTCATTAGGCCAAGGAACTGTAAATAATCTTGTGTTCAAGTACTTGTATGTGCATCCTGGGTTTCCAATTAATATACGAGACACTGGGGTAACAAAATCTTTTCCTTTGATCCTTACAAGATCTTGAAAGAAACAACCATGTTCTCGCAAGGTCAGAAATCCTTCTTGCACCATCTGATGGAGCTCTTCAGGCACTGTGTCAGATTTTCTGAAAATCAGCTTGGAATATTTGGACTTCCACTAAAGGAGAAGATGAAAAAAAAAATAAAATCAACAAAACCAGCAAAAGAATTATTCTTCTTAAAGGAACCAAAATACTTCATATACTCAAGAACAGACATGGCTCATTTAACAAACCTGAGTCTAGATTATGGTGAAGAAATAGGTATTTGTTACTTTATTTTCATATCCCAGTATACTGTGCAAATTACAGATATGTGCAACTGGCCCATAACCAGAGAGAATCACCAGGGCAAATCTCTAAATCAATAAACAAATTCTCCTGGAAGGCATGCTAAGGCACATGAAAATCAACAAGTGCTTGGTGACAGCCAGCATGGCTTCATTAAGGGGGAATCCTGCCTGACAAATTTGGTGGCCTTCTATGATGGGGCTACAGAACTGATGGACAGTGGTAGAGCAGTTGATGTCATCTACCTAGACTTGTGCAAAGCATTCAACACTGTCCCACACGATATCCTTGTCTCTAAATTGGAGAGATATCAGTCTGATGGAATGGGCCACTCGGTGGATAAAGAACTGTTGTGGTCAATGGCTCAGTGCCCAGCTGGAGACCAGTAACAAGTGGTGTCCCTCAGGGATCGGTGTTGGGACCGGTCTTATTCAACATCTTGGTCAGTGACATGGACAGTGGAATTGAGAACACCCTCAGCAAGTCTGCTGTTGACACCAAGCTGTGTGGTTCCGTTGATACACTGGAGGGAAGGAATGCCATCCAGAGGGACCTTGACACGCTTGTGAGGTGGGCTGATGCCAGCTTCATGAAGTTTAACTATGACAAGTGCAAGGTCCTACACCTGGATGGGAGCAATCCCAGGCACAGCTACAGGTTGGGCAAAGAAGAGATTCAGAGCAGCCCTACAGAGAAGGACATGGGGGGGTGCTGGTCGATGAGAAAATGAACATGAGCCAGCTTCAGTGTGCGCTCGCAGTCCAGAAAGCCAACCGTATCCTGGGCTGCACCAAAATGAGCATGACCAGCAGGTCGAAGGAGGTGATCCTGCCCCTTTACTCTGCTCTTGTGAGACCTCACCTGGAGTATTGTGTGCAGTTCTGGTGTCCTCAACATTAAAAGTACATGGAATTGTTGGAACAAGTCCAGAGGAGGGCCACGAGGATGATCAGGGGAATGGAGCACCTCCCATATGAAGACAGGCTGAGAAAGTTGGAGCTGTTCAGCGTGAAGAATAGAAGGCTGCATGGAGACCTCATAGCAGCCTTCCAGTATCTGAAGGGGGCCTGTAGGGATGCTGGGGAGGGACTCTTCATTACAGACTGTAGTGACAGGACAAGGGCTAACAGGTTCATACTTAAAATGGGAAGCCTAGATTGGATATAAGGAAGACATTCTTTCCTGTTAGGGCGGTGAGGCACTGGAATGGGTTGCCCAGGGAGGTTGTGAATGCTCCATCCCTGGCAGTGTTCAAGGCCAGGCTGGACGAAGCCTTGGGTGGCATGGTTTAGTGTGAGGTATCCCTGCCCATGGCAGGGGGATTGGAACTTGATGATCTTAAGGTCCTTTCCAACCCTAACTATTCCATGATTCTAAATAAATCTGAGGATTCCGGCAGAATCCTCTTATGAATTTGCAAATAAAAGCCTTTAAGCATACAAACAAAAGAATATGAAGCAGTAATAAAGACAATTGTGTCTCATTCTCATGTGCAGAATTCTCTCATTCTGATACGCAGAATTCTAGAGGGCTACACAATAAACTCTAATAATTAGTTTTATATAACAGCATTTTATAGGGCAAAAATAACACAATGTATGTTTTTTACAAAGCCAAAATTCTGCTGTGGTGCACCTCTATCTTCAAAATAGTGCTTGACATACTGGTCCCACTTCCACATTCCTCAGTGCATGCCAATTCGCTCTACCATTTTACATAATCCACTCTACCATTTTATATAAAAGTTCCCCTTTTAGATAAAAGAAGACTGACAAAATTATTTTCTTTCCCATTTTCTCTCGCAATATCTTTTTTCCTCATATCCCCTCCTGACCACACCAGCTCTGGCATCAGCTGGAGTTCAACATCCAGCAGTGTGAGCAGAGAACAACTCCCAGCAAGGTGTAACACTGCTAATCAGCAGTGTCTTATTTTGCGTTCAAAATACTGCTTCCCACTCCAGGAAGGCTTGGATAATTTTATTTTGTTAATCTGGTTTTCTAAGGAAGTATCACATAATCACACCTTTTATTGGCTGCCTGTAAATCTGCTTTAGCTACTGCTGAGACTGTTTGGCAAACTGGACAAAGGCTAGAAAGTAAGTTCTGAAATAGAGTAAGTTACCGTGTATTTCTTTAAAATTCACAGATATATAAAAGAAACTGACATCTGAAAGCACTAGGCAATGGGGCAAAAGCACGTGGATGCACAAAGCTGATCTAGCAAAACTTTTACTATTATAATAGCTTATGTTCAAAGTGATTTAAAAAAAATAAAAAGCCACCAGCATAAAAGTATCACAGTGACCTATGATCCATCTGTGGGCTCCCTCTGGTACAACTCAAACCCACTTCACTTGTACTATCTACTTCCAAGTCAAATTTGCACCTGCTTTTCAGGAAATTAATTTTAAAATCCAGAAAAGGTGCCTTTAAAGAAAACACTAACCATGCAGTAAGTCGGTTTGTGCATTTTCTACTACATGAAAACAGTTAGACTTTGACATCATAAGACACTGCTACCCTACAACACTGAAAAGATGGCTTTATAGGACCATTTGTTTCCACTAAGGAGGGGAACATGATGAGAAGTCTATTTTAAAAATACTGATTCTCATAATAAATCTTAGTTTATCTATAAACCTTGCCACCATTTCTTGTGAATTTTTACAGTGAACCTATCTCCCTTTCTGTACATATTCTTATGGTTTCCAAAAAAACTAGCTTCCTAGACAGAGGAAAAACCCTTTAACGGTATCTATGGATAATAATAATTACTGACAATAGTGTTTACATTCGTAACTTCAAATAACACAGCTTGAAAAAAGTCCCAGATATCTGTTTAAAGGTCCTTCTACAATCCCCAGCACAGAACACTGGATCACAGCTTTCCTTAGAATAAATTAATACAAACTTGTTAAACACAATTCCCCTGAGCTTCCAAAAGCCCAGAATGATTCCTTGAGATCCTGAACTGGCCCCTTTGTTTCCATCAGTGCTTTGCATCTGCAGCCTTTGAACAGTGCAACAAAAAAAACTTTATGAAGAATAACTACTGAAATCAGTAACTGCAAATATAAAGGATTTACAGCTATAGGCTACAGATGTGTACATATAGGTTGACAGGAATCACAACTATTCTTCCACAGTCATACCTAATGACAAAACATTATATGCTGTGACATATAAAGATTATCGCTGCATGATATGCTTCATTATGCAAATAACATGTATAAAAGAAAGAGCACTAACAGTTACATGGCAGTATGCCAGTATTTCTTTAAATAATTCCGTAAACTGGATATAGGCAAGACTAACCAATTGCCACATTACATACGTTGTTATGGTGTATTTTAAAAGTTATTACTACTGAAGATTTTTTAAACACTCAATATACCGAATTTCTTACATGAAATGCACACATGAAATTCCAAACAATTATTACAAATGGAAGGAGGGAAAGAACAATACGATGTAAAGTAACAAAATTACTGAAAACATGCCCTGTAAAGGAAGTGCTACAGAGGTAACAACATTGTATTCCCCTCCTGAACTAAAGAGGTAGTGTCTTCCACATTTTGCTGCCAGCCAAGTCATGTTTAAGGACTATTTTAGCATTAAGTTTTACACAGTATACTTAGGATTCTATCTTAAAAACAAACAAACAAACACACTCCAAAAATCCCACACTGATAACCTTAGAAGAAATCAGGAAGTGGAAACACATTTCCGACACATCACATGAAAACAGTTTGGTTGTCTTTAAATCTCTGACCAGTCACTGTGCAATGTCCTACATAAGGAAAGCATTAAGGGATCAGAAGACAGGGTGAACACTGGGTTCACACTGGACACCTTGGTGTTTTGGGGGGATGGGGAAGGAGAAGTAATCATGTACTCTGTGTTATAACCCTGACAGCAAGTATTAAAGGTCAATTCCCTGCTCACTCTGAAAGAAGCAGGTATCTTACACATTTGATGCTCAATTCTTCATATGAATGTTACAAACATGATTTTAAATATACACATGCTTTCACTTCTAAAGGTGGTACTCAATGCAGAGAATCACCCTACAGGATGATCCAAGTGACAGAGCAGAGTTAGAAATCAGCAACAGGGATCCTTGATAAACTGCCACTTACATAATGAAATTCTAAGTTTGTATTTCAGATATACATATATATATTTACAGGGGAAGTTTAGGTTAGCTATAAGGAAGAAGTTCTTTACTGTGAGGGTGGCGAGGCACTGGAACAGGTTGCCCAAGGATGCTGTGAATGTTCCATCCCTGGCAGTGTTCAAGGTCAGGTTGGACAGAGCCTTGGCTGACGCAGAATCATAGAATAATTAGGGTTGGAAAGGACCTTAAGACCATGTAGTTCCAACTCCCCTGCCATGGACAGGGACACCTCATACTAAACCATGTCACTCAAAGCTCTGTCCAGCCTGGCCTTGAAGAAGGCCAGGGATGGAGCATTCAACAACTTCCTTGGGCAACCCATTCCAGTGCCTCATGGTTTAGTGTGAGGTGTCCCTGCCCATGGCACGGGGGCTGGAACTAGATGATCTTAAGATCCTTCCAACCCAAACCATTTTATGATTCTATATTTGTGAACTGCCTTGCTAACAGACTTTTCCTTGTTTCTAAGTGGCTTTAAACATTACACTGTTTCAGCCTATGATTTGGAGCCTGTTTCCAAAATCCTGCATTGTACAAGGCACATTGAAAGTGGATATAAGTGACGTTTTGTTTGTGATGGAACCTCTTTATTGTGTTCAGACTGTACATTTCCACACCTGACAGGATACTGTAGTTTTTTACTCGTATCCTACCTAACCTTTCCAATGTGTTTAAAGAATACTTCGTCAGGGGTGCATCTTTAAGGTAGTAAGGCACGTCTATCCCAGAAAGACAGAATATAAAACTAAATTGTATGCAATATTTCATTTTGCCAACTTGTCTTCAAGCTCTCACCCTTCTCTTCTTCTCCATCTGTACTACATTTAAGCACCATGGAACATGTAATATGTAGAGCTTTGATTTAAGTAACATTTCACAACCACCATAAGAATTTAAGAGGTGCTTGTGATGCTTCCGATTCTCACATAGACTTAAAAATACCTAGCATGCACACAAACACTACACAAAAAAGGATAACTCTGTATGATGCAAGAATAATGTATCTAAACTTAAGTCTAGAACCAGTCTGATTTCACCGCTTATCTTGTCCCCACTGTCTTCTATGAGTTACTGACACTAAGTAAATAAGGTGCCACTTGGGCAGCCTTAGCTCCATCTTCTGTTGTGTTGTCAGCTCCATGACACTGGATTTACAAAGACAGAAAAATATGCTGAGCTTAGAAGCTGTTGGCAGCAACAGACAGAAAAGATCAAACAGGAGGGGATGTAACAGGACTAAGGAAGGAGAAAACAGTACCAGTCTCAAGAGGGGGGAAGAGCTTCTTCATGAACATTAGATTAAGCATGAAATGAATGTGTTAGGTTGTTGGGATTTGTTTTCTTTATGTTACTATCCCTATAGCTGTAAAAGATGCCTATCAAGAGCTTAGTTCCACTACATTCAGCACTGTAAGAACACTGAGAACACCATGCTTTCTCTAAGCATCCTACAACTCAAATGAATGACAAAGGCGAGGGAAGTAGAGGGGTTGCTCAGTATCACACCTGTAATCCCATGGCAAAACTAGAGTTTGACTTAATGATTCTGAATACCCACCAAATAAACCCTTAAAAATGGCAGTGTATTTTATTTTAATAAAGCATAAGAAACTGTGACTGCTACGTGTTATCTGGTGCTCAGGTATTGATATTCAGGATGAAATCCTAAAAATAAATTTACAAAGTTTTCATTCTTGACTATCCCGATTCTAGAGGTCATATTTCACATTACGTGGAAGTACATTATCAGCCATGAGAATCCCATTTTCATATTACATTTCACAGTTTCTCTTTGAAGAAAGATTTATTGTTCAGTCAAATAGCCATTTTAGTTTAGAACAAGTGCAGTTAAAAGAAATACATTACCAACTGATGGAAATCAGCATCGACTGGTGTCATATATGGAAGTCTGTTCTTTCCAAGTTCTTCAAGAAGCTTTTTTTTCTGTTTTAGAGGGGTAAAATTGAAACATAAAGTTAGATTAAGAATCCAAGATAAAACCAGCAAATATAAAACTAGTATTATAAAGAGACAAACATGTACAATTATTTTTCTTATTACCTTTGATTCTCAAAATTAGATAAAAGCAAATCGATGCAAAAAAATCAGTTGAGCTTTTCCACTTACAAAGCAGTAATTCAGGTTTGCTAGTTAGAGAGCACATGAGCATTTTTCCTCCTAAATTCTTTTTAGAATACGAGTCTTATTACACTGATGAAAATCCATCTTAATCTTATGTCCTTCAGAACTATGCCTGATTTCTACCTACTAATTTCTTATTTCTTTTTTCATTTTACTTTCTTCTTCCATTTGCGGATCTAATACGTCCAAAGGTCATATTCCATTAAACGGAAATCCCAGTGGATAGCCACAAATCTGGTTCGATGTTGGGAGTACACTAAGAACCAGCTGACTGTGAAGAGTAGGTCTTCTCTGTACCCCTGTTCTCAACTCTTCTTGCTTCTGGTTTAGACTGACTGTACTTCCTTCGATGTTGAGTAAACACAATCACTAAGAAATTGCTAAGATAAAAACTCTATTTCCACAAACTGCATTTTCCTGGTTTTCATTAGCAACAAAATTTAAATAAATTGTTAAATTTAAAATTAATTAAAATTATTGTATGCATTATACAATTAATTGTGAGCTAAAGTGCAAGAGACAATTGAAATATGCCATCGGATTTTTGGAATCAAACGATTCCAACCCATGGCAAAACCATCCACATTTATGTACCCACAGCCTAACTCAACATGATGTAAGTACAGATTAACACCACTGTAAAAACTATTGCAGTGGAAGTATTGGCCTAGAAAATTAATGCACCATTTCCTTTATTTCTTCTTTAACTTTTAGCTTGCAAGGATGATTCCTTTATAAACTTTGATCATTAACAAATATTTACTAACAAAAATACAACTCAAAGATCACAAAAATGCATGTCATAATGCTTATACATTTCAGATAACAGGATTTACATTCCTATTTTTATTGCAATATTTTCAACTACATAAAATTACAAGAAATAACTGAAGTGGCAGCTCGCTCAATACTTCTCTATTATAATAAAAAGACCACATGGAATTGGAATACCCCTTCTAAAAGATACAATTAAAAAAAAAAAAACAAACAAAAAAAAAACCACCACCCTCCACCTCCCCCAGATAAGTTTAAGATAAGTTATGTGTCACTTACATTTTCATAAAAACAAGGTATATAGGGGAAAACTACATATTTTATCACCTAGATGTCACCACAAATTGATTATTCCAGAGACAAGAGAATTAATTGTTAAAAGAGGGCTTTTTGTAAATTTGACTATTTATAATTTTGGGGGGCGGGGGGTTGCATATACAGGTCAAAACAGGTCTTACCCATTCTGGCAATGAAAAAAGGAAGAAAGAATTACGACTTTTAGTAATAACGTCTGGTTTATAACAAATACGTAAATAAGGCAAGCTGAACTACGAAGAGTGTTAGCGTGTATTTTATTCTGTGACAGTGAATTTCATTTATTCAAATTCAAGCATCAAGGAAGATGATGATCTTTAAAATCCATGAAGAAGTCTAGAAACTTTAAGGTTTATAGCTAACAGATCAGTCAAACTAAACCAAGATCAAGTAGCTCTCACCCATCTCCACACTCACAACTGCTGATCACTGACTCTTAACGAGACTGAGAAAAGCAGCATTGAATTTTAGAAACCGGCAGTAGAATTTCTCTAGGTCCTGGCTTCTCTGGAAACAAGTTGTTGGTACGCTGATATGAAGTCACGGTGAAACTGAGCATAACATTACTTCACATTAAGCTGCAGAAAATGACATTGTAATTTGCTGCATAATCTAAACCGGTAACACTTCTCTATTATAAAAAGCTTATTTATTTTATTACCAGAAATCACTGAAAACATTAAATTGGCTTTGTTTTCTGTAAGATAAACCGTATTAAACTGCAAGAAAAAAATAATATCTCAACATGGACTCACAACTGTGGGGGAGAAAAAAAAAGAAAAAATAAGAAAGAGGTGGGAAAAAGAGATTCTGACAATTTCTTTGTCAAGTACCAGCCTCTTGGCAAACAGCACACAACATTAAAATGCACTCCTGTGTATAGGTAGTACTAGTTCACATTTGATTGTCAGATCTGGCTAAGTGCTGTTCTTCAGCTTGATGTACAGACTAATACACACAGCTGGGTGGTATAACACGCTGCTCATCTCTTATGCAAGAAGCTGTCACACAGATGTCAAAACCATCAAGTTGCTCACAAATACCTCCACAAAGTGAAAAAAGAGAACTGAAGATCTGGCTATATGAGCTGGCTGATGTGTAAGTCTAAACTCTGTTACACAAGCACTGCTTATGGGCTCTTCCAACATATAAACTCTGAAACAGGAAAAATAAAAATGCCTTTATTTGAAGTTACGAGGCATCTGAAAAAAACAGTCTTTAAACCTCATTTTTACGTTTTAAAAATTATTAACAGTGTAACAGCTTATTGAGGTACCAGTATTATGTTTCTTACACTTTAAGAACCAACGTAACCTTTATATATATATATACATACATGATGCCAGTATGTGAAAGAATCGTAAGTGCACCATCCCTATAAAGTCACCATGCACTGGGCACTGCTCAAGAAACACTGCTAAATGTTGTCCCTGGGCCTTCAGAAATGAGAAAAATCTCTGCAAATATCTTACTTTTTAGGCTGCTGTGAGTGTTAATGGATCTATTATATCTGACTCTGTAACTGGAAGGCAGACCAGAAGTACTAATGCCCAATTTCAGAGCATGTGATAAACTTCCTTCAGACACTAACAATCTCTGCTCATTTACTAGTAATAAACAGATCTATTAATGAGATGGTTGTAAAATTCAGCAAGGGAACTAGCAATAAACAGAATTTCTCAATAACTATACATACTTTTGATTTTTTTACTATGTTCCTTCATAACAGTAGAAGTAACATGGTGTATGTTACAGAGCAGAGGAAGTGATAGAAACACAATGAATACATACCAAAGTCACAGGCCAAAATGCAGTTATACATACATGGTCTGTCATTTTCAGATTAAGTGGTACAAAGGGAAGGCGGGACTTAATGACGTTTTCTGCCCAAGAATCACCACAGGGTAAAAACTTTTGCAGCTGAAGTATTTCCCTGCAAGGTGTCAATATCTTTCTCAAAAGGTTTTATTGCTCTCTTAATTGTAAGACAAAAGTTCAATACCTAGGCTATAAATGCTTGGGAAGACATTAGTGCTTCAAACACAGAATTCCCAGGTAGTTTCATCATCACACAATTCAGAAGATAGTAGTCATTTTCCACTTTAGAGATCACTGTCTTGGCTGAAGCAATGTATGATGAAAACTATTTCTACTGAAATCATATCGAAATATTACTGAAATTAGTTCTGACAATAACTGTAAGGCTGCAAAGACTCAACAATTTCTAATATGTGAAACCACTGAAAACATTAACAGGAAAGCTTGTTTCTTCCCCCAGTACTTAGCATAAAACATACTGAAAAATTTGTGGAAGAAACTGCATTTTTTAGAACAAGGGACACTTCAGTCTATGCAAGTATCATTCACCTCTAAAAAGATAATCCTCTTTGCTGCCCTGCATTTCTCCTGATTCTGGGAAAATGCCAGTTTCACCACATAACCTCTCTGGACGTGAAGCACCATCCTATCCAGGTATAAGCAGTCAGTCACACAAGTCCAAGTCATGGACCAACACAACAGTGCCTACAAAGCATTTAAGAATGGTAAGTTTTTAGCTAAGCAAGAATTACTCACTGTGATGAGCAGTTAAAACATACACTTTCTTCAAACTAGTAGACTGCCAAAAAACATGACTGCAAGTCACTAACCTGGAAAAGCCCATGTCATTATTCCTTAGAAAAGATTTTTTTAAAAGACACTGTTTTGAATCTTCTAACAGGCATGTTTCTGATCTCTGAGTGGATAGCAAGAAACCTTTTTTCCAGCCACTCATTATTTACTTTCACCTTACAATTAGCATTATGCAGAACGAAGAGAATGAAGTGCAAATAAATCATGCTATCAAAAACACATATGAAAGAAGACATTTCAAAGAAAAATTGAGTAACTTGCTGTTGCATTTAGCTTCCTACTTGAACAATTCTTCAATATTTATTATTTACAAATATTTCATATACAGGGGTGATGTGTTTATGAAATATTGTCTCAGCAGATGGCTGAGAACTGACTGGACTCTTCAAGCTGGTGCTTGGCAACAGAAGCTTGCACTTGCTTGATGCAAAGAAAAGAGCACAACCAGCAGAACAATTCTGTGTACTCTGAATTTTCTGATTTACTACCTGAGTCATGTTCAGTGACCTAAAGTTCCACCTAATGTTGCTTTAATTTCATTAGGCCAATGTTGGGCTTTTTTTCAACAAGTGATTGAAAATGATCATTTTTACTCCCCTCAACCCTTAGCAATCTTACATCAGAGGTAAAAGAAATCTGAACTTTTTATCTAGGCTGAGTTTTACCTATCTCATGTCTAATCTGACAAATAATCTTAGTGAGGCTAAAGGAGCAAATAGGTAGGAGTGCAGGAGCAAGGCCTAACAGCTTTGAAACATCATCTCCATTCACAGCCTGTGAAAACCCTTCTGCCTTAACTCTTTTCTAGAGAAGTTCTTAAAACATTGCCCCATTTTTTAAATTTTTTTTCCCTAAGTTTTTCTAACTGCCCGCTGCAGCTTTTACACTTTTGAGAATACTGACTAAGGGACACAGCTAGTAAAACACTTCAGGGTTTTGTTTTTAATTTTTGTTCTCAATACAGTCCAATGGGTTTACAGAAATTCTTGGTCAGCTCCTACAAAAAAGGCCTCGATTCAAAGCATAAGAAAGTATCATCTCTACCTCCAACATTGTTTTTCCCAATAGTCTTGTTTTCCAAT